TAACTTCAAATGAATACTTTATGGAATCAGCGAGTCGTACATGAAACACTGGTTTAGATCTTTTCAAAGCGTCGTATAGTCAAGATTGATTATTTTAAACCATTGTGTTTAAGTAGGCGTTCTCCAGTATTTTGCTTTACTTTTTAGGCTCGGCCGTTTGAGGGTCAACCAAAAGCAGTTGGGTTTTTCACTGTTTATCTTCGTCAAATATTTATAAATAAAAGCCGTCTGGGTTATTGTATTCGATTGCTTTTGGGAAGCAAAGCTTGTTTGGGTCAATTTTTGAACAGTTAGTTATGCGCAAGAGGGAACTTTCAGGTGCACTGCTTGGAGTTTTGCATGATATGCACACTAGAACTTAGTGTTCTTGGTGTGAAAATTCGTGCTTTTGGTAGAGGAGCGAGGAAGAGGCTTCCATTTGTGATCTCAAAAGTTCTTTTTTACTATAACATATCTTGCAGAGCCAGCAAACATGACAGGACAGTTATATGGCGCAAAACTAGTTTAAAATTTGGATTTGTAGGTTAAAAAAATTTAGTTTAGACTTCGCTACATGTGTGCCTTTCGCTAAGACTCATGTTTAAAAAATTTTTCTTCACTTAATCTGCAAAACGGGGACGGATCTCAAAATTGCTCATTTTTTCTTTTTGCAGCGTTTCCCCTCCGTTGTTTCTTTAAAATAGCCATTCTGCTGTCTTTTCGAAGTATTCTTTTTAATTTTTTTATTTTTACGAGTTGCAGTTAAGGCCTGCGCATTAATTTAGCCTGACTTTGTATAAGAATGTAAAAAATTATCGGCTTTACTTAAAAATTTTATTATAGAGATTCATGCTGCTTCATCATTTGTTTCAACTTGGGTCTTTTTACGATGTAATGGTTCTGTTAATTATTGTTGTTTTCTTCCTTTTTACTATTTCTGTATACTTCTGGCAAAGTGTTGCAGTAACGAGAATTTCTGGAAAATTTGTTAACTTGTCTGTTGGTGTAATCCTGTTTTTTTTGAATTTTTTAAAATTGTATTCAGAATCTTTGTAATCTTATATCTGAGTCTTTTGGGCTTTTCATCGTGGAGTGTTTATTTTTATTTTTTGCCTTTGAATGTATTTGCTTGTGACTTGTTTTCTAGTGGCTTTCAATTTTTTATTGTTGTACTACCGGTGCATAATTTATAGAGTTTACAAGCTGCATTTTAACTGCTATTAAATTTAAAATCAGTGTGATTTTTAAAAGATAATATTTGGACTTTAAATGTGCTAGTTTTACTTTGATATTTCTGAGATCATTTTTTTAAATAGAAATGTGGGAACTAACTTGGTGTAATCTTATTTGCAAGAAATACGTACCCCTCTTTTAGGTCAGTAAAGGAGCGCGCAATGCAATTAGTTCTGCTCAATTTGGTAACAGCAGCTTTTTCTTAATTGTGCTCTGGTCAAGGATGTTTTCCCACTGAGGACAAAAGGTTCCTGTAAAATTGTTCCAACTGTCTTGGAAGCCAAACTTCAGTTTTTTTAAAGTACAGAGAGGCCAATAGGTGTGCAGGTGCAGTTTAAGATGGTGAGCTTTGGTAGTCTTCCATGCATAGGAGCTTGTTCGTCGTGTTGTCTTAGTCAAATTTAAATCATCATTGTTTTATAAGCCATGACAGTTGGAGGATCAGCTTCAACTATTCTCAAAATTAATGGCTGCAATCTTTTCTACATTTTTAACTTCAAAGACTTTGGGGTTTCTGCGCGACGTTTTTGCGATGTTAAAGTGGACGTTGTTAGAACGCTAGGCTCCGTTTGGGTTTGGAAGTGCCTCAAGGGCTTTTTGATTGGTGAAGACGTAGGGTTAGTGTATTCTAAGATTTAGTAGACTGTTTGGAGATTGGGGTGTTCAAAAGCAGTTGGCTGATGGGCAGTAGCAGTTATTTCTCGCGGTTGCTACTTTTAGCGGTTGGATGCGTGGCTTTTTCTGTTTATTTATTTATTTTTTTTTTCTGTTTACGCTAAGATTTGAAAAATTAAGTTTGATAACGGAGGTCGCTGTAATCATACAGCGATTTTTTTCATGCGCTTCGTCATTCTTTAATTTTTTTTCTTTGATAGTAAACACGTTTGTTGGATAGGTCACAGCGTTTCGAGCAGATTGTGGGGAGTTCAACATAGGTATCTTGCTAGAGTGGATTTCCTGCGCATTTGGGAATGAAATCTCAGATATTGTGCTCGCGTTCCCTGAACCGGCTGCAACTTTGTATTTTTGACAGAGATGAAGCGTAGAGAGAAGTGCGAGGCTCGGAAAAAAGTTAGAATAACACTCAACTTCGCTGAGTTTCTTACTCTAAAATTTGAAAAATTAAGTTTAATAACGGAGGGTTGCTGTAATCCAACAGCATTATGACTGTATGTCTTGGTTTAGTATAGATATTTCAACTGCAGGTCGCAGTGTCACACGGAGGTGGATGTCTTTTTTTTTTTAAAAGTCAGACCGCTTCAGTGACTGTGATTTTCAGTCTTGCCGCAATTTCGAGACAAAATTTGCGCATTTTATGGATTACGAAATTCTGCAATGTTACTTTTTTCAAAAAGAAAAGTTAGCTCTTTTCTCTACCATTGTTGCAAAGTTTTTTCTATAAATTTGGTTTATTTTTTGAGCGTTAGTTGACAGATGTTTTGCGGTCTTGAATGTAGAGGGTGTGATAAGAACCAAAAATTGCCTGATTCTGTTTGCCTGCGGAAAAATTACGACCTCTGGGAACCGTTTCTGGTTTTGGTGAGGTCTGAAAATTCAAGTTGTGACGGAATACAAATAAAAAGGTGGGGAATATTTGACTTTTTAGTCAAACTCTTCTACTACCAAAGTTGAACATTTAGATTTGACAATTCTACATGTTGGCAGGAAATCTAAGACAGCTTAGGAAATCTGAACAAGTTGTGTGATTTGGCATGAAAAGGTTGTTCTGGTTTTTTAATGTACTTCTTCTTGATGTTTGTAAGTGGGTCAGTCATACATTGGATGTGATCATGAAGATATCGATTGGTGCATTGTTGCATGCCGTTTTTACTCCAATTTTACCAAGTAACTTTTTGCGGCGGTACTTTTTCAGTGATTAACAACGTTATTGACAGTTGGCATAAGTTATGGAGACTACAGTAGGAAAAGCAAAAAAATGTATAGTGAAATAGGCGTAAAAAATCCAAGCTGAGCATTTCTATTTCTTAGCAACAATTTTTAGCTTCCACTCTTTTAACTTAGAAATACGGCGGTGAAAGAAGTTGAAAAAATTCAAAAATGGACTGGGTCTGGATGATATAACTCAGCATTAGTAACATTAACTTGAAATGCTAATGTTATTAGGTCGTCTTATTTTAGGGATTTGAAATGTTAGTATTTAACATCTAATCATCTATGAGAAATTGTCCTGTGTTGAAAAAAGAATGTGCTAGGCAATTTGGTATTTGGACATCATTCTCGAGCAGTTTTTTTAACTCGTGTTTACGAAGTTTTTTCTGCAGCGTTAGCGAGTATTTCTTCTGGAACATTTCAAATTTCTTCTGAATCGTGCTATTGAAAGCTGTGAATAAGTCATTGACCACAGTAGTATACATCAGCAATTTTTAATCACTGTTTTATTCTTTGGTATTTTTGCTTTATTACCCATCAAAATCAAATTAAAATCCTCTTCCTCTTATGCTGTTTGCTATGCGGATTGTTGAGTACTTGTTTATGACTTGAGTCAATGTCTTAGCTGCGCAACGAGTATTTATTATTCTTTTAATGTCTGAAATGAGGAAAAGACGTCATTTTTTTGCTATTACTAGTCGCGCCTATTAATATTATTTCCAGTGGGCCTATTTTTTGGACCTTTTCTTTTACGCCTTCTTCTTGGAGGACGCCGTCTTGGTGGAGGTTCAGGAGGTTCATCAACAGAATCGCTGCTACTGAAACACGATTGCGCTATCTGTAACCTCTGCGATCTGACATGCTTTCTGTACCGTTTCATTGGCCGAGTTTTGGTTGGTAGCATTTCCTTAGGTTGAGATACCATTGGAAAACTGTCGAATGGTGAAGTTGTCTTTGGATCACTTTCCGCCAAAGATTCATAGACGAAGAACATAATTGTGAGTATAAAACATACAAGAGCTGCGGAAATTACCATCCTCAGCCATCGCGAAGCTGGAAGAAAACAGTATTGCAGTAGCAGAATTCTCTCTTGGTTTGTTGTTAAATTTTAAAAAATTTTAAGATTGGAATGCAGTGCTGTTTCTTCTAAGGAATGATTTTTCACTGTTTTTCATTCATCTATTTTTACAAAAATGCTATCACTTTTTTACTATTAATATTGCCTGGACGATTGGAGTGTTGTTTAAGCAGTTAACTGAGCTGAGCTGATGTGAGAAAGTCAGAAAATGAGCAAAAACCAATCGAGTTCGGCTTTTTCCTTGTAGAATATCTCATTTTGACTGTCAAAAATTAAAAGGAATCATTGAGCATAAGTCTTCAATGACAAAGTGTGATACATATTTTTACAACATGATGTTTCAAATTAAACGTCACTCTAAACTATGTGTAGGGAGAAAGAAGATGTTGGGTAGATAAATGTTTTACTAATCAAGCATATAAAGGTAGTAATTGCACGTGTAGCTGTGCAAAAACGTTTTATAACAATTCATTAGTGTTTTTTTCGGATCGGTTTGTTATTTGGATTGAGAAACGAATACTGTATGGTAACTGAAAATGAGCTTGGCAGTTAGAATGGATGAGGATCAGTTTTTTGGCCAGGGATAGCATTGGAAATTCGTCAACGATTAGCAAAAATAATTTAGTAGTGAAGCATTTACTAAATAACTGACGCAGATTTCTTTACCTCTGAGTCGATTCATACAAAATGTACTATGCGCCTTGATAACTTAGGTGAACTATGCTTTGAGTTGACAGAAAGGGGGAAGTTGTATAGCGATAATATGTAGTCGTTCTTGGTGGATGTTGTGAAAAAAAGTTGGAGAAAGTAGAAGGTTTCACTGCATCAACATTACTGCTCTGAAGTTTCTTCTTTTTTAGAGTTTTTTTTATTGCTGACAAACATCTTAGTAATGTAAGAGGTTTCAGCAGTTGTTTCCTGTGCTGAAAAACCATAATTTTTTGTTACAATGGAACATCAAATTTGTTGTCGGGTTATTGACTGATCTTTCTGATGTTTATTTTGATGAATTTTTTATCAAGCGGTAAAACGTTGAGATGAAGCAAGAATAATGCGTTATTATTAATGGATTAATCTAATAAAAGATTTAATTGAAAAAACATTTTTTTCGCTTATTTTTTTCCCCAGGAACAAAATAATTTACCGTTGGCAACTTTGATTACAACTTATTAAATATGGACTGTTATTACATCTTCATTCTATTAAAGTTTTCTTTTTATGAAGTAAAGGAGAAGA